GGGCTCTGGGCCCTGGGGAGGGTCAGGGATGGTTCCAAGCCTATGAGGAGCCATGATATTTTTCTGACTTCAGAGAAGCAAATTCCCCAGAACTCACACCATCACTATTCTAGATACGGGGGCCCCCTAATTCCCACAGACCTATACCAACAGGAACATTCTTTTTGTCACCTTAAAGCAAAGCTGGAGCTGGAAGAGCAGTATTGGAAGCTACCTTAGGAGTATCCCAGTCCAGTAATGCCCTCATTTCCCAATGACCTGGTTGCCTCTACCTACTTAGGTCAGAGCGGGGACCAGGCCCTGTGGTCCTTGACTGCCAGCCCCTTGCCCATTCACGCCCCATCCCTCCTCTTAGCTTCCCTGTTTGCATCCAGTGGCTTGGGGGTTTCTCTGGGGCTAGCTCTGCCATCTTGTCATGTATCACCGTAATTTTTTTTCTGCAGGACGTTCTCTGGTAAAACAACTATAATATGAATCCCAGGAAGTTGTCCATCATGGTGGGTATCTTTTCGGTCCTCAACACCATCCAGTTCCTCATCTTTGACCTGAACCAGTTGACCGAGATTGGCTATGAGGACAGTTTCAGCATCTACCTGCCCCCAGAGTCTAAATCAGACTCTTGGGCCAAGGCCTCCAGGTATAACATCAGCCTCGGCCTGTCCATCACCACCCTCCTGGTCAGCTGCTTCCTCCTCTACTGCATCCGCATGGACATCTACGTGGGGCTGCTCATCTACGCCCTGTGGATCGCCGCCTACGAGCTCACCAGCTTCTCCGTGGTCCTGCTCATCAAAAACACCATCAAGGAGCTGTTCCTGGAGCTGACCTACTTGTACTTGATCATGTACATCTCACGCATGCTCCTGCACTTTTTCTGTCTGCCCTTCGTAGTCAAGCACGCGTACACCCTTTACAAGGAACGCCAGGCTATAAGGAAGGAGCGCCGGCGCAGGACCTCCTCCCTCAGCATATTGGACCGCAAGATAAACTGAACCACTCCACAAAGAAGGGGGGGTGCTCCTCAGTGGCAGAGTCCTCTCTGCCCCACCTGCCTTCTGTCCGTGCTGCTTGCCTTCTCAGTTTTGGAGTTTTACACACTGAAGAGTGATTCTTGGGGAAAAGAGGGTTGCATAGACCAATTATTGTGCACGTGTGTGTGTGTGTGTGTGTGTGTGTGTGTGTGATTTGTTTTAGCAGTTAATGATATGCTGCCTTTGTGCTTACTTACCCATCTCATTGCTATATTCTCTCTCATAGTCCCCTCTTCTCTGCACCTCCTCGGTTTCTAATTTTTCTCTGTGGTTTGCCCCATGGATGCATGATTCTGCTGAGTCCTTCTGGAGTGGTGTTGTCCAACAGAGCTTTCTGTGCTGTTGGAAATGTCCTATATCTGTGCTGTCTACTGGCCATGTGTGACTATCGAACACTTGGAACGTGGCTATGACAATCCAGTAACCACATTTTAAATTTTATTTCATTTTAATTAATTTCAATTGTAATAGCCACATGTGGCTGGCTGTCACTGCCGTAGTGGAGCGCTGTGTTCTACACTCCTGCACATCACCGTGGAGAAAGGACCCTTTCCAGCTTCACGCGTCACTCTGCTTCCCACACACTTTTATCAGAAAGCAGTTCCTCCTGCTGGCTCATAAAGAAATAGCAAGCAGAATCTCCATTTAAGAAAGCTCCAGGATGTGTCACCTTAAGCACTATTGACATTCTGCCCTGAATAAATCCGTCTTGTGGTGGGCCGACACAGAAGTCACGCTTGGCCCCCGGATTCACGCACTCTTACCAAGATAAAAAGGAGGGGGCTTCTTTGGGGATAGTTCCTTTTTCCTCAAAAAATGACGGGAGTGAAGTCAAGGGATACTGTTTATTTGACCACACTCTTCCAAACCATGAGCATAGCGACAGTAGCTCACGTTTACGGAACACTTTAAGAGGGCCAGGTGCTGTTCCGACTCTTCCCACCACCCTGAGGGAGACATTTAAACCGAGGCCAGTTCCCAACGCGACCACAAGATGGCAGTCAGCACCCGGCTTTTGCTCAGGGCTGCTCGCCTTGCGCGCCAGGTCCTCTAAAGACGACCGATTTGGGACTTAGGAAGCCTTGAGCTGATGGCTGGGAGCCAACAGTGTGTGTCTCTGCCCCTGTCTCACAAGGTGCGCCTTGTCTAATTGGGACTTATTAGTATAGAAACACAAAAAATAAAACATGGCGGACTTCAGGGTTCTGCTCCCCCATCCCATTTGGGGTCTCTGGGTGGGGAGGTTGGGCGACTGGAGACCCACGCATTGAGGAAGTGCAGGGAGGAGAGCTCCAAGGATCAGCTCAAGGAAGAGCCACTGGACGCGGGACAGTTTAATGCAAGGCTGTGCTCCCCGCTACAGCAAGACTCTTCGAGAGCATTTTGCCTCTGCCTTCACTCCCTGGCCCCCATCCTCTCTGGAACCCCCTCCAGTGAGGTCTTCACTCCCCTAACTCCATGACACTGCTCTTGTCCAGGTGATCCCAAACCGTGTCACCCAGTGGTCAATTCTCCACCTCCGCTTACCTGTTCTATTAGCAGCTTTTGAGCAGCTGATCTGCGCCTCCCTCCACAGGTTGCTCTCGGCTGGGGGGCTCCGGGCTGCCTCTCCCTCCGTTCCCCACCTGCCTCGCTGGCCTCTCCTCGTCTGACCTCCCAGAACTGGAGTGCCCCCCGCTCGGCCCCTGGGCCCACCGTCTTCTCTGTGTCACTGGCTCCCAGCTCGCCTGGTCCAGGCCCATTGCTGCTAACCTCCAGCCTGGACCTCTCCCCTGAGCTCCGGACTTGCTCAGCCAGTTGCTTCCTTGCTGTGGTGGACAGACTCTAACGCGGATCCCAAAGACGCCTGCCAACTGGCAGTCACAGTCCTTGCCTCCCCTTGCATGTGGGCCGGACCCAGTGACCCTCTTCTAGCAAATGGAATGTAGCAGAAGGGATGGGATGTCACTTCCAAGATCAGGTGACAGACAGATGATGACTGCAGTGTTGCTCGCTGTCTCTGAGGGGAGCCAGCTGCCATGCTGGGAGTGTCCTCATGGAAAGGCCCACGTGGCCAGCAACTGGCGCCACTAGCCCGGTGCATGTGAGGAACTGAGTCCTGCCAACAGCCCCTCGAGTGAGCTTGAAGCAGATCCTCACCTGGTTGAGTCCTGAGGTGACTGCAGCCCCGCTGACACCTTGACTGCATGTGACAGCCCCTGAGGCAGAGGACAGCACAGAGAGTCCTGAGTCAGAGGACCAGGCAAGCTGTGGCTGGCTCCTGACCCACCGAACCCGGGCCATAATAAATGCATTGTCTTGAGCTGCTAAGTTTTGGGATAAATTGCTCCACAACGATAGATAACTAATACACGTCACGTCTCTATACCAGTGGCTAGCAGCCATCTCAAAACACGTCCCAACCCCGATTTCCTCCCATAAACCTGGCTGGCCCCAGTCTTTCCTACCTCCTCCCTTCCGGTTGCTCGGAACAAAGACCCAGCACTCCTCCGTGGGCCCTCCCTTTCTCTCAGCCTGTATCCTTCCCCTCAACAAACCTGTGAGCCCACCCTTCAACACAATCTGGATGCCACCACTCTCATCACCACCCATCCCCCACCCCCACCACCTGCCTGGCTCAAGCCATCACCATCTCTGGTCCAGGCTCTGGCAGTAGCAGTTCCTGAATGTCTCCTGATAGCACCCTGTTCCCTTTACAGTCAATCCTTCACCCAGCTGCCAGAGGGGTGTCGTCAAAACCTAAGTCAGATGACGTCCCTACTCTACTCTTCTGCTCCTAACCTGCCAGAGCTCCTCACCACACTCAGAGTAAAACTCCTTACCATGGCATGCTAGGTGCTAAGTGACCCAGTTCCCTGTCATCCCTCTGGTCTCTTTTTTCTTTCTTTCTTTCTTTATAAATTTGCTTTATTGGCCGGACGCAGTGGCTCACGCCTGTAATCCTAGCTCTCTGGGAGGCCGAGGCGGGTGGATTGCTCGAGGTCAGGAGTTTGAAACCAGCCTGAGCAAGAGCGAGACCCCATCTCTACTATAAATAGAAAGAAATTAATTGGCCACTGATATATTTAGAAAAAATTTACCAGGCCCGGTGGGGCATTCCCGTTTTTCTTAGCTACTGGGAAGGGGGGGCTGAAGGCAGCAGGATTGCTTGAGCCCAGGAGTTTGAGGTTGCTGTGAGCTAGGCTGACGCCACGGCACTCACTCTAGCCTGGGCAACAAAGCAAGACTCTGTCTCAAAAAAAAAAAAAAAAAAAACACGCCAGGCCTAGGAGCAGGCTCTCACACGGCTCTGGACGCTGGGCCGTCCAAAGACAGTGATTTCGACTAAGTTCCCAGAGTCCACCATGTTCACCGCCAGCAGGGCCTGGCTCATCCACTCCATTTCTCGAATTCTGGCTCGGTCTAGGCCAAAAATGGCGTCCGCCAGCCATGCCTGCAGGTAGAACACCAAAGGGCCCCTCAGTTCCTGCACCGGAAACCACCAGGGCCGGTGCGACTCCGCGGTGGCGGAAGTGGGAACCCAAGCAGCCTCTTCAGGGCGCGGCCGGCTACCCGTCCTGCGGGGACCCAGCCGCACCAGCGTCGTCCGCCATCTTGGGACGGGCTACGGCGGAAATCACTAGGAGCGGCTGGGCTTCCTCCGGCCTCCGGTCTCCTTTCTAACGTCTCTGTCCTCCCTCCCTCTGCCCCAGCCATGCTGGCCTCCTTGCGGTTCCCCTAACACCCAGCATGCTCCAGCCTCAGGGCCTTTGCACTTGCTGTGTCTTTGGCCTGGAATGTTCTTACTCCAGATAGCCACCGGCTCCCTCTCGTGCTTCCTTCAGGTGTCTGCCCAAAGTCATCTTATAAGAGAGGCCCCTCGACCCACGTGCCACAGCCCCTACCTACCCCCATCCCACTTATCCTGCCGTATTTTTTCATAACACACGTTAGCGCCTGACTTGCTGGATATAGTGAACTCCTCCGGGCCCCAAAATGTGAGCACCATGTTGACTCCACTGCGCGCAGCGTGCCGCAGGCGCGTGACGAAGACTCGTGGGACCAATGGACGCGGCCTCAGCAGGTTCCACCTGAGGGTACGGCGGGAGGGGCAAGTTCCTACCCCCTTTTGCGCCTCTTCCCGCGCCCTTCCCCCACCCCTGCGCGGGAAGACCCAGGTAGGGGCAGGGGACACCCAGGGATCGGATTCCAGCTTCCTGTCCCTGTCCGCCCCCAGGCCTGGTCCCTCGCGCCAGCTGCTGACGCTGGAAGCGCCACCTCGCCTCCCAGCGCCGCCTCGCCAGGGTGAAAACAGCCTTTCCGGCAGCACGGGCGTCCCTGCGAAGGGCAGCCCTCGCAGCCGTCACCGCCCGACGCCTTCAGCTTGTGGAGATCCCCCGCCTCCCTGCCCCGTTTGTTTCCTCGCGCGCGTATGGCTGCGCGCAGCGCCTGAGCTGCGAACTGGGGAGCGCCGGGAGGCCAGACACGGCCCGCCCTCCAAGGGGCCCCAGCCCAGCAAGGGGCCTGGTCACTCAGGCCACCTGGACCCCGTGTGGCAGGTGCTGGAGAAAGCACTGGGACCACAGGAGGAGCCCCCAGCTCTTGCCGGGTGGAGAGTCAGGGAGGCTTCCTGGAGGAGGAGGCCTTTAAGCCGAGCCTGGGAAGAGAGGAGAATTTGTCCTTGGCAGGGAGGGAGGAAAGGGGACAGTGGGGGCCTGAGAGGGTGCAGCTACCCCCGCGCTACTAAGGCTGCAGCTCTTCTGGGTCACTTCCACCTGGTCACTTCCACCTGGGCCGAGGGAAGGGGCTCTGTGCGGGCGATGAGGACCGTCAAGGGGAAGTAGCAGGCGCAGAACTTCCCCAGAGAGGAGAAGGGCTCCCCTTTCCCACGGCCTCTGCGCTCAGGTGTCCAACCACCGAGAACTTCTCGCCAAGTTTCCCACCTGGCTGCTGCGCCTGGAACCCGAGTCTCCTCCGCAGCCGTGTCCCGTGGAGGTCAGGCTCCTGACCACCGAGGTCAGCTTCCCCAACCCGTTCGCGGTGTGCCGATGTCCCGTCTGGTTCACGGCTTTTGCCCTGTGGACTTGGCTGTGCGTCCCCATCACGTCCTCCCCAAGTGCTCCCCAGGGCCTTGCCAGTGACCCTGGCCCCTGCAGCCCTCTTCCCGCTGTCTCCAGGCTCCTCCGCCTGCTGGCAGGGACGGACGCTTTGCCTTCCTCCCAGCCACTGCGCCCACCGCCCACCGCGGGTGTCTCACAAAGGGCCCCGCGCCAGCCCCCGCTGAGGCCACCACTGCGACTGCCTTGCGCCCTGGCTCTCAGACGCTCCCACACGGGACGGGCACAGGGAAGGCTCCCTTCCGGTCCCTTTCGGCCCCTCACCAGTTATTAGTAAAAGAGAAACCCATTTAAATGCCCACTTTATTTTCCACAAATAAATTATGATTTTGTTCCCTGGGAAATAGATTTTACAAACACCTTCTGACCGTATTTCGCTTTAACAAGGGCTTTAGGCATGTGTGACTGTATGTGTTTGCGTGTGTGAACGTGTGTATTTGTGCATGTTGTGTCTGGGTGTGTGTATGTTTGTGTATCTGTGTTTGTGCATTTGTGTATATGTAAAAGGCTGAATTAAACAATTATTTGATGATTGTCAGAAATAACCTACATATTACAGATATAAAGAGCTCAAAATTTGGGGGGCTTTACGTATTTTCAGAATCTCCCTCTGCCTTTTACCAAGACTACCTTTGCCCTTCAGAATACATCCCACAAGGGCCAACACTAGAATGCATCTTATTTAAAACCGACATTTGATTTTTCTCTCACTCAGGGTGACACTGACAAGATGTGTTTTACAAATGGTGTGACTGGAAATGGAACTGGAAGCCGGCCTGCTTCTCAAACAGAGTTTGGGGAGAAATAAAGGATTCTTTTCTGAGGCACTGGGAGAAAGTTGTACAAAGTACCCCAGAGCTTTGTGCAGTGGCGGTATTGTCGCCAGTGAGGTTCATCTGAGCACAGTTGTTGCTAATTGAGAACTTTTCCCAATATCCCACAATGACCACTTGAAATATAGTCAGCACTAGCAATTTTGGTGGTCTCTAAAAAAACTGAACTAAAAATTAAAAATAAGTTTAAAAAATAATAAAAGAGGCAGATGCAGTGGCTCGCGCCTATAATCCTTTGAAGGCCGAGGTGGGAGGATCGCTTGAGCTCAGGAGTTGGAGACTAGCCTGAATGAGAGCAAGGCCCCATCTCTACTAAAAAAAAAAAAAATGGAGTCTGGGCTTGGTGGCTCACACCTGTAGTCTTAGCACTCTGGGAGGCCAAGGCGGGCGGATAGCTCCAGGTCAGGAGTTCGAAACCAGCCTGAGCAAGAGCGAGACCCCATCTCTACTATAAATAGAAAGAAATTAATTGGCCAACTAATATATATAGAAAAAATCAGCCGGGCATGGTGGCGCATGCCTGTAGTCCCAGCTACTGTGGGGGGGGGGGCTGAGGCAGGAGGATCGCTTGAGCTCAGGAGTTTGAGGTTGCTGTGAGCTAGGCTGACGCCAAGGCACTCACTCTAGCCTGGGCAACAAAGCAAGACTCTGTCGCAAAAAAAATAAAAAATAAAATAAATTTTTAAAAATGGAAAAAATTAGCTGTCTCTACTAAAAATAGAAAAAATTAGCCGGTCATGGTGGCAAGCACCTGTGGTCCCAGCTACTCGAGAAGCTGAGGCAGGAGGATCACTTGAGCCCAGGAGTTTGAGGTTGCTGTGAGCTAGGCTGATGCCATGGCACTCTAGTCCAGACAACAGAGTGAGACTCTGTCTCTAAATAAATAAATAAAAAATAAAGAGCCCAAGCAACTTGAAGTCGTATTGATTCAGCAAATTAGAGATTTTTCAGCTTCTTTCCAAGTATTTCCTAGCTCCCTGCATCTTTCCAGGCAAAGCCTCCTGCCAGCTATCCTGACCTCAGCCCAACCCCACTTGCCCTACCCTTTGATCCAAGATCTTATGCATTTTCTGGCCTGATTGAGATTATTTTACTCAGCATTTGATAACCTTTGTACAGTAACCACCCTCCTTCTCCACCTTCTGATAGCCTGGAACACACACACCTATGTTTCCTAAACACAAGCATCACACCTTCTTTCTTACTTTCATTTATTCATTCATCAGTATGCATGGCTCGTCAACTATACACCAGGCATTGTGCTAAGTGAGGCAAAAATAAAAAAGAAGATATGGTCTTGGCCCTGATTCAAGAAGGGAGCACGCAAGGAAGTAATTAGAGCTTTATGCAATAAATCAGGTAAGAGAGCTGGGCATGGTGGCTCCTGCCTATAATCTCAGCACTTTGGGAGGCTGAGGTGGTGGGATCACTTGAGGCCAGGAGTTCAAGACCAGTCTGGGCAACATAGTGAGACCTGATCTCTTTAAAAAAAAAAAAAAATCAGTTAAGAGAGTAAGTCCAAGTGCTGGATTATCTCTATTTGTCAGTGATTCATTCAGCCAATGTTTGTTGAGCACATACAATATATCAGGCCTTGTTCTAGATGTTGGAGTGACAGGGGAGAAGGAAATAGATGAATTCCTGCTCTTCCTTACTTACTTAGAAAGTAAGATGAACTTACTTTCTAAGGTGGGAAGATAGGCAAATAAATAAGCAAGTGAACATACATCTGTGTAATAATTTTGGCTAGTGACAGGCACTATGAAGAAAATAAAACAAGGTAATATAATAGAGAGTTTGGTCCCGGATAATGAAACTTTGCTAGTCCTAGTAATTCCATGCTCTTGTGATTGACTGGTTCAGGAATAGGCCCAGAACCCGATGGAGGGGGCAACCAGGACGCCTTTGGACAAAAATCTGTCTCTCTGGGGAGGTGACGCTTAACAGGACTGTGAAAATGGGAGAAAAGGACATTAGCAAAGGGAAAATTGCATATAAAGTTCCAAGCAGGTGGAAAAAGTCTGGTGTGTTCAAAAAACAGTCAGAAAGCCAGTGACTGGAGCTGGGTGTGGTGGCTCACACCTGTAATCCCAGCACTTTGGGAGGCCAAGGCAGGAGGATTGCTGAGGTGAGGAGTTCAAGATCAGCCTATGCAATATAGCAAGACCCCGTCTCTACAAAATTAAAAAAAAAAAAAAAAAGCCAGGGGTGGTGGCATGTGCATATAGTCCCAGCTATTTGGGAAGCTGAGGCAGGAGGATAACTTGAAACCAGGAATTTGAGGTTGCTCTGGGGGAGAGATAAAGCTTCCCTCCAGGTGTGTAAAGTTTAGCGGGGAGAACCACGTGGGTAGACCATGCTAACTACCGCTCACCTCACCGGGGGTTTACTGGGTGCTGCTCCAGATGCTTGGCTTGAATGAACTAACTTCATTCTCATGACAACGCCGTGAAGTGAATTATATTGTTTCTGCAATTTTACAGACGAGGAAGCTGAGACCTGGGAGGTTAAGTCGTTTATTCCTAGAGTCACACTTACGGTGGAATTGCTGGGATCTGAGGCCAGGCAGCCTGGCTCCAGGGCCTCTGCGTTCATCAGCGCGGCAGTGTGGGGCCCGAGGAGAGCATTATGGGAGCGAAGCAGAGGTAGAAGCCACTCCGCCTTGGGGAATCAGGGCAGGTGGCTCCTCCTTCAAAAGAAATCTCCCACCCTCTGGTCAATTTGGCAAACATGCATGGGACCTGGACTTTGGGGCAGGGACATGAGCAACCTGTTGCTGATACAAAGATGGGCGAGGCCGGCTTTCCTGCCCTGGAGGAGCTCACAGGCTAGGAGAGGAAGGAGATAGCTAAGTATGTTAGTTGCGTGTGAGATAATAAAGGGTCCAGAGGGGTGCCAAGGGGTAGATCAACTCTTCACAGGTAACTTACGAGTAAGAAAGTCTTGGGCAGGTGACACACAAGTTGGGCTTTGAGAAATGAAGGCAATCTGTTGGGCCAATGATTGGGGGGTAGAGGGTAGGGCAAGAGTCCGGGGAAGGGACTCCAGGTGGAGGAACGGCGAGCAATGACAGGCAGCAGGAGCAGGGTGGTGTGCGTGGGAGCTCACGCCTAGTGGGTAGCAGCTGGGGAGCGGCTGGAGAGGCGGCAGCAGCCCTGGCCCCAAGCAGCCCCCTTGCTGTGCCAAGGTGTTTGCACTTTGCTCTGGGGCAGAGCTTTTCAAGGTGAGGGCTGTAATCTGTTGGAGTATTGGGAAATCAGTTTAACAGGTCAAGACCAGCATTTATAAGAAATGAAAAATGAAAATGAAATAGAATGGAATAGACTAAAGTACAGACACAATACTCTTATAATAAGAGGGCCATTTTGTAAAAGTTTTTCAGGTTTACACATTGTGATAGAGGCTGAAAGTTTTCCCTCAATTCATTCCCCCCTTCATAGGAAACTATATCTTTATAACCTAGTATATAATAGGTTCACAGTAAAAGTTTGCTGGATTGAATTAAATTAAATAGAAAATTGAGGGAATAAAGTGTTATAGAAAGTATTTGAGGACTGAAAGAGCAAGATAAATAACACTGAAGGGTGTTGGATGGATTCAGAAATCAGGGTTCAAGGTCCAGCTCTTGACCTTGAATCAGTTGCTTAACCTCAATGGGCCTCAGTTTCCCATCTACAGGAAGAAGGAGTAAAAAATCTTTAAGATTTTTTTCGGCTTAGGAACACAAACCTGATCACATTGCTCACTCACCTGCTTAAAACATCTTTTAAGGGCAGGCAGTTTCTCTATTTTTTTTTTTTTACCACAATCTAAAGTCATAAATATAATTTACAGTGTAGTCTGGGGCCTGTGTGTGTGAACACACACATATACACATAAAACACATATCACATA